TATTATTATTATTATTATTATTATTATTATTATTATTATTATTATTATTATTATTATTATTACTGTCAGCCATATAAAACACATCCCTTTGCAACAGCAAAAAAAACGACGAAAAAACACTAACTGTTGAATTCGATAACCACTTCTTCAACTCCCAAAGAAGTGAGGGAACGGAGCCTACTACTGCTTCGTGTGTGTGCTCCAATCTGCGCCGTGGTGACTAATATGAATCACTTTTTGCCGATACGTTTTTCCCAGGGTATTACGGTAATTATGCACTATTTTTTCCAGAGCAATGATGCTTACAGTTATCAGGGCGGTATTCCAGTAAGTACTGTCAACAGCGGTCAGCAGTGGGATTTCCCGTACGCATGGCCACCGCTTGATCACATGATCATCGAGGGGATGCGGAAATCCGAAGATCCTTATGCTCAGAAAGCGGTAAGCCTGATTGAGCAATAAAAATAACCTACCGCAAAATCAACTTTCTATTCACTGAAAAAAATAATTGGCCAACGCACAGGCTACCCGCGCGAAGATGCAATTTTTTGCAGAGTTCCCCGCAATTCTTGTCGCTACCGGCATCGCTCTTTTCGGCAAATGCTTCTAGCTGAAAGAATTTTAAACTGGCCGCCAGAACTGTCTGAAAACATCCCCTCAAAATTCCACTCTTCTAGCTTCTCACGTTCTCGAGTAATTAACTCACCCGGAAGGAACTTTCCACGGGCCTGTACGTAGGTACCACGCTTATCCGCGGGCAGGGTTTGAACTCGTAAATACCCACTTAGACAGGGAACACCCCCCTAAGGTTGCAGCTGTCTAACTTCTCAAAACCCCGAGTTATGAACTTACCCGAAAAAAATTTTGGCGGGCTCGTAGGCGGGCACCACGCTAACCCGGGGGGCTAAGTTTAAGCTCATTGGCACCTGCTTGGACGGGGAACATTCCCCCAAAATTTCAGGTTTCTAGCGTCTCTGAACCCCGAGTTATGAATTTGCGCGGGAAAAATTTTGGGGGGCTCGTGCGGGGGTACCACGCTTAT